ATGTGCATATAGTAGCAAAGCTTGACTTGGTCAGGTATTTGGGAACAAATTGTCATTTTCCTGTGAACTCTTAGTGAGAGCAAAGCTATTAAGAGAGTTCTCAAGTAGGAAAGGCTAAGGTTGTAAATGACAGTAAGTGATGATTCTGGCTGCTGTTGCCTCCTGTACATATTCTGGGCTATTGAACACTGCCTGTTGCCCACAGGCTGACAGGCTGTTCCCTGGCCATTAGACTTGCACACAATGATTTTTCAATTGGAAGGCTTTTCTCGGGGTTCCCCTCTCAATCCTTAAACTGTTGAGCTGGCTCATTGGGGCCTTTTTCCCCATACTCACCTCTATCGCCCCCTGCTTTCCTCTAATCAAGTCAGCCACGTTCAGCATCCAAGAAAAACATTTCTGGGCTGATAACTTTCCTTCCAGCAGTTACACTCACACCCTGTTGATAGGCCAAGAAAACTGCTGCCCACAAACTTGCACTGCATAAGTGAAGCTGTGTTTTGCAGCAGTTGGTTGGAGTTAAGAACCAAGAAAAAAACTGCTGAAGCCTGTAATCTCCTAATGAAAGGAGGAGGGAGAGCAGAACTGTGGGCCCTGAGCCCCCATGAGGGAACACATCACTGTCTTTCAGCAGATGTGTCAGTGCTTTTTCTATATGCTGGGAGCCAGGGCTTACAGGACATTTACAGACTGGGGACATAAGTGGGACACAGGTAACCCAGGTGACACAGCCCAGAGTAGAAAGGTGTTAATTCTGCCTGGTGGGCAGAGGTGGAGGCTTCATGAAGGAAACAGCATTCCAGCTGGACTGTGAAGGGTGGGCAGGGTTCAGGAATTACTCTAACCTCAGCCAGAAAATCCTGTGTAGCAGGGTCGAAGTTGAACTGCCTCAATACACAGTGAGTAATTTGAGGAGAGTAGACATTTCCCCATCAGCACCAACTGATTTTTGTTGTTGTTAATCCTCACTGAAGGGTATTTTTTTCATTGATTTTTAGAGAGAGTGGAGGGGAGTATGGGGGAAAAGAGAGAGAGAAGCATTGATGTGAGAGAGACACATGGATTGGTTGCCTCTCTCACGACCCCCACCCCAAACCCAACCGGGGATCGAACCTGCAACACAGGTACATGCCCTTGATTAGGAATTGAATTCGAGACTCTCTGGTCTGTGAGCCGATGTTCTAAACATTGAGCCATGCCAGCCAAGGCCCAACTGAATATTTTATTTTATTTTATTTTTATCCTCACCCGAGGATATTTTTCCATTTTTTGTACAGATAGAGTGGGAGGGAGAGAGAGGAAGGAGAGAGAGAGAGAAACATCGACGTGAAGGGACACATCGAGTGGCTGCCACCCGCACGACCAACCAGGGCCAGGGACAAACTGCAACCGAAGTACGCGCCCTTAGCGGGAACCGAACCCGGGTCTCTCCGGACCGCAGGCCGACGCTCTAACCGCTGAGCCATACTGGCCAGGGCCCAACTGAATATTTTAAATTAAGTAATGGACTGTCCTTGCTTTGGAACTGGACAACAGGAAACATCTCTCTCCTGTGCAGCTATTTTCCCTGCATTTCTTTTTTTTTTCTTTGTTTTAATCCTCACCTGAGGACAGTTTTCCATTGATTTTCAGATAGAGTGGGAAGGAGGGGGAGAGAGAGAAAGAGAAAGAGAGAGAAACATCGATGTGAGAGAGAGACACTGATTGGTTGCCTCCCACATGATCCCAACCAGGGCCAGGGATCAAACCACAACCTGAGGGACATGCCTCAAACCCACGACCCTCATTCCTCTGGCTGATGCTCCAACTGCTGAGCCAAGCCAGCCAGGGCTTCCCTGCATTTCTTTAAATAGTAACTGACCTTCCTATCTGTAGAATGGATCAAACAGTGGGATTGCTCAAAGAATTTAGTGTCCCATTTCTATTCTGTTTTGGCAGGTCTCCTTGTCCTTTTTTGTCATTGAGGTGGGAGTATTTCAGATTAAAATCTCATCACTTAACAGATTTTTAAACAAAGTCGTTCACACTTAGTGGACAGAGCTGGAGCAAGTGATCCCGAGCCCCCATCCTACAAGGCATTCTCTTCTGTTCCTTGAGCTGAGAGCTGTCACACTTTGGTGTTTATTGTCACACTAGGCAACAGTGGTTGCACTGACCTGCCTGCTTTTACACTTCTTTCCTGCTGTGGAAAACCTTGTCTGAGATTCTAGGTTGTGGATTCCGTCCTCTCCACCTAACTGCGTATTAAATAGCTTCTGAGTGAGCATTCAGAATGCTGGAAGTTACTGAAATTAGCAAAACACAAAAAAATGGTTTCATCTCTTCTGGTGATAAAGAATCCTTTGAAGAACAACTTCAGATGTCCAACTAGAGAGAGTTAGGAATTCAGCTGCCACAGTGAACAGCTGACATAACAGAAGCGGCAGTGATCCCTCATTAAATAAATGCCTTTCAACCGATAGGGGCTCCCAGGATAATTGACTTTCCAGCAGGAATTACTGGCTGAAAACAAAATCACTGGGCATTAGGGAAGCCTACTGCATGCTTTGAAAGGGGGACTGTGGTTGTCTGGTTTTGCTGACCTGACAGGCATAATTTATCTTGATTATTCATTGTCCTGGTTGCCACCAGATGATACTAGATTTCTTTTGACTGTGATTACAGCGTGGGGGTGAGTTTGGACATTTTTTTGGTTGTTGTTGTTAACAGTATTCCACCCACTTGGTTATTGGCCTCCCTGAGCTGAAGGTGCTGTAGGCAGATTTCTACAACATCTGCCAGGGGAGATGATGAGTGCATAGTCAGATTACATTTACTGCGCACTTTCTCCCAAGTCTTTTACTCGATACGCATGGAAACAATGTGGTGTAGCCTGTTTTATTTCAGCTGACAGGGTGTCACTTCTTGGTTATGCTGTTGTCAGAAAGTGGGTCTACCTCTCAGATCCCACTTGGAGTAAGGGAAAAAAAGGATGGCCCCCAAATATAACTGATAAGACTTCCTGCCATCAGGCAAGCTTTTTTTTTTTTATCCTCACCCGAGGACATTTTTTCCATTTTTTTGTTCAGGTAGAGTGGGAGGGAGAGAGAGAGAAAGAGAGAGAGAAACACAGATGTGAAAGGGACACATCGAGTGGCTGCCACCCGCATGACCAACCAGGGCCGGGGACAAACTGCAACCGAGGTACGCGCCCTTAGTGGGAACTGAACCCGGGTCTCGGGACCGCAGGTCGACGCTCTAACCGCTGAGCCAAACCGGCCAGGGCAGGGCAAGCTTTCTTAAAGGGAGAGGAGAGAGAATGGAATTAGACCAAGCTTCAGTTTTATTGGCATGGTTTCACAAGATCCTTAAGCACTCTAAAGATTGTCCTCCCAAGAAACCTCTGCTCCTCATTCCCAGATGCCCCTCCCCAACCTCTTATACACCCCAGCCAGCTGGGTGGTGTGTGCCTGCGTGTGCACATCTGTGTGAGTGTGTGGGCCTGTGGCCCTGGGGAAGAAGTGAGAGAATGTGACAGGCTCACTGTGTCCAATTCCATACACTGAGTCGGGGATGAACAGCAGACTTCTAATATGACATTTTACTTATTTATTCTTTTTTTTTTGTTAATCCTTACTGGAGGATATTTTTTTCATTGATTCTTTTTAAGAGAGAGTGGAAGGAGGGAGGTAGGGAGAGAGAGGGAAACATCGATGTGAGAGAGACACATCAATTGCCTTCTGTACCTGCCCTGACCGGGGCCAGAGATCAAGCCTGCAACCCAGGTACGTGCCCTTGACCAGGAATCGAACCCGAGACCCTTCTGTGTGCGGGCTGACACTCTAACCACTGAACCACACCAGCCAGGGCTAATACGACATTCTATATAACCCAGTAGCAGGTTTTTACTCTTCTGTATGATATTTGTATTTTGTTTGTACATTTTTTGAAGAGATGCTCGATTAGCTCAGATATACTTTTAACAATGATTGTAGTTCATCAAGCATTCCCTGGGATCTAGTAAGTGCCAGGCAATGTGCTATGTGATGGAGACACAAAGATGAATAAGACATCTTTGCTCTCAAGGAGCTTACATTGCAGATAATTCCAAAATAATATGGTAAATTCTGAGTGCAAAATATACAGAGATTACTTCTAGAGTACTTAGCACAGCTGGGAGTGAAGAGGAGGCTGCCCATAGAAAACGATGCCTGATTTGAGGAATAAGCTACCCAATTGAATAAGGCTAAGAAGCACATTTCAAAACATAAACGAAGGCATATTTGTATTTACCATTTCCTTCCTTCAGTTGAATGGTGTTGGTTTAACCTAATCAATTAAATTAGGATTAGTTTTGCACTATTTCTCTAATGAAAATGAATGTCAGTCAAGTGGCACAGGGTCTCTGTACCTTAGGAATAATCTCAGGCCCTGGTGACCCTTAATATCATGAGTTCTGATTGCTAGACTTAGGACTTCTAGTAATGAGGTTTGGCTGAGACACTACAACTTCGGGATCTGTGTCCTGCTGCCTTTGACCCTTTAGCCCCTGCTTAGAGTATTGTATGGAAAGCCAGGCTAATTATCTTCATAACATACCATATAATATACAAACATACCATAAAATATACAAACACATATACCATACAGAACCTGCAGAAAAGTGATACATCTCAGAGTGGTGGCTTCTTCCAGAAGATCAACTAGGGATGAGCAGTTCTCAGGAAATTGGGCCTTTGTGTCCTCTTCCAGGATTCTCAGGTATAAGTAATGCCCACCCTCCTCCAACAAATGGAGATATTCTTCCACCTGACTCCCTCTCATTTTGGAATCATACTTGGAAGCAAAATAAATAAATGAACAAACAAGCTCTCAGTATAAGGGTGGCAGAGATAGTGACCTGAGCAGTCTTTTATAGTGTAAGGTAGGGATAGCACAATTGCTTCATCTTTTCCCTAAGTGATTTCCTTGTTCTCTCTCTTTCTACTCCCTTCTGAACTCTGTGCTTTGTTCCCCTTTAGAATGGTGGTTTGGTTTGGAGTGATGAGGCAGATGGAAGCCGAGGAAGAGAGATCTCTCGAGATTTTGCCAAGGTCTGTAATTGTTTCCTTTGTGATAATGAAAAGGGCAGTTCTGCAGTGGGTTGTTGTATATGATCCCCAAAGAACAGGACAGGAATGGCCTATGAGTCACATTTGTAGTCATTCAGATGGTTGTGTATCTCTGGTGTGAGGTTTTCCTGCATAAGACAGATTTTTTCATTGTGTTTTTTTTCTCGGGTATTGGGATTGCAGCTATATGAACTGGATAGTGATCCGGAAAGGAAAGAGTTCCTGGATGACCTCTTCATTTTTATGCAGAAGAGGGGTGAGTATGCATTATTTCAATTCTATTGATATTTATTGAGTACCTACTGTGTGCAATTCACACTTAACTCCTCCCCACAGAGTGCCAGAATCTTAGCTCAGGAATGCAAGAGGCATTTACTGCTGATTGGTTTGAAATTAGCCAAACAGCTGACAACCAGAATGAAGAGGGCAGAGAGGGCCTTAGCAGAAAATGAAAGGAATAATCATTCAGACTTGTTCCTGCCTATTTTTGTCACTCTTTTTCTGATTAACTGGTCTCTGGAGTCATTTCAAATTTAAATATACTTTTTTCTTAGCTTCCCTGGACATCACTTAACCTAGTATTGGGGCTTCCTGTTGATGCATATAGCCTAAGAGAGACTGAGAAAGGCTAGTGAAAGAATAGAGGCCCCTCAGGATTTATTAGGAGGATCAGAAATGACCTGTGAAAAGGACAGGCTAACTCTTGTTTTCTTATCCATGGTCTCTCTGACTTTTACATCGACTGGCTTGGTGGGGGCCTTCCTGCAGTTTAATTGTAGGTATATGGGTGTCTGCTTTATAATACACCTTCCCATTTCTCTCCTCCTCACTCTCCTCCCCCACCCCCACCCATCTCACTTTGGACCATGGCATGACTGAGTCTTGAGCCCAGTGACTCAACCTACTGGCTTTATTTATTTTAATCCTCACCCAAGGATATTTTTACATGTACTTCAGACAGAGTGGGAGGGAGAGAGAGAAACATCGATGTGAGAGAGACACATTAACTGGTTGCCACCTGCACAACCCCAACCGGGGTGGGGTACGTGCCCTTGGCTGGAATCGAACTCAGGTCTCTTTGGTCCACAGGCCGACGCTCTAACCACTAAGCAAAACCGGCCAGGGCTCAACCTACTGGCTTTATATCCCTTCATAGCAGTGGGTTCACCAGCTGGGACAGCCCTCAGGAAGCATGGCCAGAACCCCACCCTCTCTAGGAGAAGGTCCTCAGCAACCTGTGTAGCTACTCCCACCAGCCTCTTCCCCAGGATTATCTATACCTTGGTTTTTGTGTCAGTTCCTTCATTGAGATCTGGCAATGAAATGCCCCTCTCATCCAAGGCTGGGAGCTATAATGGCAGCCCAGCTGCTAAATATTCTGAGTGAACTCCTCTCCCTCCCCCACCCCCACAACCCTCATCCCTCTGTTTCTTCTCCTCCTTCCCCTTCCTTTACCTTCCAAAGCCAAATTGCCTTCTTAGTAGCATACCTATTACATACTTATTTCTTACTTTGTCATTTCTTTGCTTACAAAAGGCAATCGCAAGTTTTGAGGTTCAGTGTGTCCCCTCATCTCCATGCATATCAAAATAATTGAAGCAGCCCTCATAGTTTACTCCTCCAACTGTTGTCTGGAGCTGCCTCTGTCAGTGAAAAACAAGAATATAATCCTGAAAGATAACGTGAAACACTCCAGTTGCCCTGAGAGGGAGAAATCCACTTAATACTTTGGTCTCCCCTTCCAGTTCCTTTTAATTATTTACAAGCTCCACACGCCCAGCTGGTGTAAACCCAGGAGCTGATCTCATCTCAGGGGCTGCTATAGCAAAATAGATTTTAATCAGCGTTGTGCTACCAGTACTTTATTTTCCTCCCTTCCCAGAAGGATTTTTTAAAATTGATTTTAGAAAGAGCAAGGATAGCCCTGGCCGGTTTGGTTCAGCGGTTAGAGTGTTGGCCTGTGGTCCAGAGAGACCTGGGTTCGGTTCCCGCTAAGGGCACATACCTCAGTTGCAGTTTGTCCCCGGCCCTGGTTGGGTCATGTGGGTGGCAACCACTCGATGTGTCCCTTTCACGTCGATGTTTCTCTCTCTCTCTCCCCCTCCCGCTCTATCTGAACAAAATATCAAAAAATGTCCTCGGGTGAGGATTTAAAAAAAAAAATTTAGAAAGAGCAAGGATGGCAGAGAGAGAGAGCACACAACATCGATCAGTTGCCTCTGCATGCACCCTGACTGGGAATCCAACCCACAGCCCACGTTTGTGCCCTGACTGGGAATCCCGCCCACCACGTTCTGGTGCGTGGGACAGTGTTCCAACCAACTGAGCCACACCAGCCAGGGTGAAGGATTTTAAAAGGATATTAGAAGTTACATCATCCTAGCCAAGAATGAAGATTTGTAATTGTTTCTTTAGTATTGTATGTTCCCACTAGATTAGGAGTTCCTTGAGGATAGTCACTTTGTCCTTTCTTTGAGCCCCTACTGCTAGCACAGGGCCAGACAGGGAGGTGCTCAGGCTGTAATCAGAGGTCATCAGTAGAGAGCAGTGAGTGCCAAGTCCCCTGCTACTCTGCAGCACTGGGGCTACCAGACTGCCATCTGGTGTATTTCTGGGTAAGCAGGAGTAAGTTACTCCCTTTGGTTGTGTCAATTTATGGTTCTTCAGGCCCTGAGTAAACCTTTTTCCTGTCTTCAGCACTTACATTAGGTATTTCACTATTTTCTGGCATCACTAATAGAAAGGAACTGGTTGAGTTGGTTTTGTTACTTGTTAATTACTCTAATAAAAGGTTTCTCAGACTTCGCATATGACTTTCAGGATTGGATGATATTTTGTTGTGGGGTTACCCTCCCGCAACTATGATAAACAAAAAATGTCTCCAGATACTGTAAATTTCCCTGGGGGACAAAATTGCTCCCCTGATGAGACCCCTGCCATAGAAGGATGGGAAAGAGGGTAAAGATCCAAAATTTCCTCTGCAGAGAAACTCTTTTTGTTGTTGTTAATCCTCACCAGAGGATATTTTTTCATTGATTTTTAGACAGAATATAAGAGGTGGGAGGAGGGAGAGAGAGACTGATTGATTGGTTGCCTCCCTCACAGGGCCCTTTTTTGGGGGGGGATCAAACCTGCAACCCAGGTACGAACCCTCGACCAGGAATCAAACCCGTGACCCTTCAGTCTGGGCCAACACTCCAACCACTGAGTCAAATCAGCCAGGGCTGCAGAGAAACTGTGGAAACCATATTACTTCCACTCAGGTAGCAGTATCTGAGGACGGCGAGGCCTGTGTCAAGCCATTTTGTGGGTCCCCCTTCTGTAGCTGAATGCCAGAGGCGAGGATGCTGGGCTGGAGTGCAAGGCAGGCCTCAGAGAGGAGCTTAGCTCCAGCGTATGAGAGTCACAAGAGTGGAGGGAAGCCACACAGGTGGAGGCAGAAATGCAGGGGTGTACACGGCCCAGGTACAGCTGGAAGAACCCTTGTCTGTGTCCTGGATGAGTCAGTTGTCACCAGACTGTGAAGAGCCCTGTTTGACTAAGAAGTTAGCACTCCTATCTGTGGACGTAGTGGAGTTATTGAAGTTAAAACGTGGGGAGAGTCTGTCACCAAAACTGGGCCTTTAGACACTTGCTGTGTAGAGCAGTGTGTAGTTGGGTTGGACAGGGGAGACGGAAGCCAGGAAGACAGTATGGAGGTTGTTCCCTTAAATCCAGTGATCTTCCTGGCAAACTCTTTTCTGATCATCTGAATTAGAGTGGGCAGTTCAAGAGGGTTGGGAGCAGATTGCACTTTTAATGTGAAGCTTGCTGTCTTTGCTCTTCACAGTATGGTGAAACCAGGGCCTCCTAGATATGTGTGACTTATCTGACACTCCCAAATTAAAGTGTCTGAGGCACGCAGGAGCCAGATCTTGTTAGCCAGGTCTGAGGAAAAGCCTTACAGACCTCAGCAGCAGGTCATCCTCCAGAACTAATATAAAGGATAAGTGGTAGATTTCACAGGAGCCAGTGAAAACTGCCTCACTTTGAAAGGCCTGGTGATGCCCACCTGGGCTGTGAGTGGGTCTGGGCAGCTCTAACACAGCAGGAGGTTGCCAGCTGGCTGGGACAGCTGCTTTGTGTTGGCTCTTTTGCTTGTTAACTCCTTTGGGTGAATGGACTGTAACAGATGGGCTTGTTGGTTCGAGGCACCTTGCTTTCTAGGCCAGACCAGGGTGACTTGCACCCTGGTGGCCTCTCCCCCACCAACAGAGCAACTTGCCTTAGAAGGAGTCTGAGAAGAGGCCTAGGCTGCACCTAGTCTCGGGTTCACTGTCTCACATGCTTCTGGAAAGGGCTCTACACTGATAAGTGTAAAGTCAGGGCTATCCTCCCACCCTTCCCCATGATCTTGAGAAATTCTTCCTTTCTGGGGGCCATGGTTTGTTGATCTATAAAATGAGAGGGTTCGGTTAGTTAATCTGGAAGTTTCTTTTAAGTTTTGTATTATGTGTCCTGATTATGTCTGTTGAGCTACCAACAGAGAAGACCTATTTTCAATGGCAAAAAAAAAAACAGAAGAAAAACTTTTAAAAGCAATTTTCTACCAAAATAGTTGTATAAAAACTAGACTAAGGATCCCCAAGGCCAAATGCTTCTCCCTTTTTCTTGCTGTGTTTCCTCTTTTGCTGAATGAAACCAAATTGACTCAAACAATTTGCTTTGATTCTGTTCGCCCAAATGTTTCGCTAGAATGATTAGTTAGATTTCAGAATTCTGATACTCCTTTTTGCTTACCTTTTGCCTTCAGCACATGCATGTATCAAATAAAGTCAAACAATTGTAGATAAAATTCTGTGGCTAATTGAAGTCACTATGGGTGGTTTCTGAGATGGCATTCCCTGGTAGATTTTCCAGGAGGAAATCAGGGGGTGGGGTGGGGGTGGGGATACTAATTTGGAAGTCTGATAAGCAAAGGTTTGTAAACAATTCCATTCTTCCTTCATCAGTGAGGAAGAAAGGTTTGTTCTCTTGTTCCCTCAGCATGAAACAGAAAGAAGTGTAGTCTTGTTGCACCAGCTCTGTAGGGTGGAAGAGACCATAGGTTATCACTTAGCCAATGAAGAATCAGCCCCCAGGTTAAGTGATTTACCTGAAGCCACAGAGCAGATTTAGCACTTGGTTTCCCAGCTCCCAGGCCAGCACTCTTTTCCTCTCTGCACTGCCTTTGTGAAACTTGGCACCTAGCACAAGCAGCTCCATTACTACCTGTTG